GATTAATACAGTTCGAAACGGTTTTCTGAACATCAACACACAGGGCGCGCGTGTAGCGCAGTGCTTAGAGGCGCCTTGCAAGACGCATGCGTTCGATCCTCTGGCCCAGATTCCCGAAGCCTTCCATTTCTTCGGGGTGGGTGAATTGGTCCCAGATCTTTCTATCTCGATAGCAACACTGACCCGATACATCGGTAGGCCACTGCGATTCATCGTGTAGGCCGGATATGCTTTCAATCACCTCTAATGATTCTGGATAAGGTCGGTATGCATGGTGCATCCCTGGGGAAATGATCAGCGCTGAGAACTTAAGCCCTTTTTTATCAATACAGACCATGCTAGACGACGAAAATCTTTCTATAAACTGTTCTTAATCTGACATATTAAAGATCAAAGAAACGAAAAGGGAAGCAGAAGAAAACGAAGCTTTGAATTGCTCCTGGAGTCTCTGCGTCTCTGCCTGTCCAGTCTGTAAATCGGTGCTCTCGCGGTCTGGTGTCATGTCTTGTCAGACGACGAGACATTGAACGACATTTTCGTTTGTTATCAACACTTTTTATCAGCTTGTCCCTTTTTTTGGTGTTTTGACGTAATCTGGGAATCTTAAGGTCTTCTAACAAGCGCTGTTTGTTGTCCCAAGCAAGGGATTATAATGTTCAGAACTGATTGGATAGTAATTCGCAGTTATCCACAGAAAACTACTCGACGATTTCTCATAGTTACTTTTTGGCTTTTAGTCGTTCCAAGTTTACGAATCTGGACGTTGACGCGTTTTCTGTAGTCCATGAGATCAAAGTAAAAGAGTGTGTAAGAGCTTTGTTTGGAATTATCATGATATATCACCGGTGGTATGCTTCCACTCCCAACGGTTTACCGCCCCATCGTGGCTGGGTGGCTGGGAGGCTGGGAGGTGTTCCTTGGTGTCGAACTGCGATGTACAGCGAGGAGATTCATCCCTGTCGCAGGGGCTGATAACTGAGGAGTCCGGCGTTTCCATCGGGAAGCTCAGCTAGGAGTAAACCAATACCAGGATCTGTCACCGCCCTGCTACCTAACTAGTCGCATGGTGGCAAATCTCCCTTTGATCCACAAGGGCGGTGACTGCTTGTGGTGGTGACGACCTGGGGCAGACTTTAGTCAAGCTGACTTCGGGATTCTATGGAACTACAATGGCTAAACCAGAAAATCCGAAGAAATGGTGATTATGCTTGGCCCGCACAACCAGTAGGGACGCGCCATCCAAGTATCCAGGGATACTTTTGCCCTGCTCCAGTATTCGCAAGCCAAACTGTCTCCCAAGATGTTTGTTCTTGATGTTTTTGCTACTTTTTGGTTCTCTTCCATTTTTTCCGTCGTTTATTATCGCCAGCTAATAAGGTTTCCTTGTTGGTGTATAATTCAGCTTAGGTGTGTTTCATTAAGGAAAAGTTTTAACAAGTAAGAATTAATTGCTACTCACCTTATGTATGTGTTATTACTTCCTTCTAACTAAAATTGCCTACTTGGATACTTGGTTGGCCCGTCTTTAGTGGTTGTGCGGGCCTCAGCATAAATTCCATTGTTTTGGGGTTTGCTAGTCTAGCCATTGTGGTTCCCTAGAGTCCCGAGGTCGGCCAGGCGAACTAGAATTAGTGTTGCTTTAACTATTGCGTAGATTGCATATAAACGGGCATTGTTTGGTTGGAAATCATCGATTTCAGTCCATCCGACTCATAGGTAAGATCCGATCCGATTCGATGTGATTTGAACAAGACGACAAGTATGTGACGCATTTCGCCCTTCGATTGAAACTCTCCAATCGATTTTGGTCTACTTTCGGAGCTCCTCGTCTGTTTTTCGTGCAGAGTTTTTGTTACTAAAGTTATTTAATCAGCTTTCCTATTCAGCTTAATCAGCATTCAGTGGAACTGTCGAATAACAACGGAGGGAACGAGTGCATGATTCAACTTCGGTTCTGTCAAGACTGATAGTGAAAATTCGATTTTCCTTTCCATAACCTCTTTTGGTTTCCCTTTCAAATTCAGGCTTATTTCCTCGTTTTCTTCTTCTATTTTTGTCTATTTTCACATACATCTGATGAATAGTTTCTCTTACTACTGTTTTGTTTGAAAATAATGAACCTTAGGTTAAGCCTAGAACGTATCAAACGGAAGAAGGGATAGCTGCAGCCACTTTCTAATTACCACGGAAGGCTATGCTCAATAGGATACTCAGATTTTGGACGTAACCCTAACATTGCACTATTATCATGCGAATTGATCGAAAACCGTTGAATTTAACAGTTTTTATTTTCGCACGATCAAATGTTAGAATAACCGAAGCATTCGATTTCGAATTTTCCAGAAGAATGCAGTTGCCTGACGTTTCCGTTGTAATCCTATTATCTAGAGCAGATATGAGTGAGCAAGCAGAGTCACTTATATTTTTTGCGTTGTGTGGTAGTGATGCAGCTCATTACGAACAAGGCCCAACTAATTTAGGCCGTGGTTCGACCACCCCTCCGTGGGACTACCGAAATCCCATGCTTGCAGATTCGAGAAATTGGGACTGACTGGACCAGTCTGAGATCTGCTCCTCACTCCAATCTGCCTGGGAATGGCTTGACATGTATATCCTAGGAGCCCTGGGAGAATCCTCCCAAGCGGCATTTAAGGCTACATTTACAACGAAGACGAAAATCAGTCAGTCAGCAGGCAAACCCACATGCCAAGAAAGACTCGTGTATAATTCATTCGATGATATGATTCATCTAGAAGAAGTACGGGGACCTGTAAAACATGTGATTTTGGGTCCTGTAAAAAAGAAGAAAGGTGTGTTACTTTGTTCCTGGGAATTTCAGTGTTGTTACAAAATCCACCAAGTATTTTTAAGAGCGAGGATTTTTGAGTGACGTACCAGGGTAGTAAAATCTACTTCTGATGTGTAACTGATGGAGTTCTACGGCATGGCTTCACATTCGTGTTCGGCTTTTTATACGAAAGGCTTTCGGGAGTTTGGAAGTAGTGGTCAGTTTTTCAGACGCATCTAATTTAACGCTAGATTCTTGCTGTTCTGCAAATGACTGAACGGTTTTCCCTTCTGTTCTACTTATTTTATGAATATGTTGTAACCTTATGATCTTTTTGCCTTTGTTCCAGTTATTTCGATTTTTATCACCATGGCGGTGATTCATTGGTAAAAACAAGCCATGACGTACTAACATTGACTCTGGCGTACAAGTGGGGAAAAAGGAATAGGTAAAAATAAGCAACGGATTCGTCATAATTTTTATTAGAAACGTAAACGAAAGTAATAGCTTAAGACCAGAACGTCAATATCATCTTTAAATTGTTGCTTAGCTATGTCCCAGTCAACGGAATGGCTACTGCTGATGGATGGATTGTCTGGAGAAAAACGATTGATTATCAGCCTACGATCGCTTAGTCAACAACCGTCCTCTATTAATGGGAACTGTTCAGGGAGGTTGGTTCATCCCTTCGGTGTTTCACTCCTCTTTATTCGGATCGATGGGACTCTGAAGGGCCATATCGGAAGAAAAAGGAACTGCTGTAGATACTCAACTGGAATCGTTCTGGCTCTGAAGAAGGCGAATGCGCAGAAGTGTTAGTCGAAGTAAGAGATTTTCGTAGTTAGTTGGTTTAAACTCACGAATTGAACAAATTATAGATTCAGCGAAAGCTTAATAAATGTCAAGGAGCGGATAACACAGTGGTAATGATGCCGCTAATCACGAAATAGTACTGGTTCAATTCCGCTCCGAGCTCACCGAGCCTTTCATCAGTTTTGGCACGGGAAAGTGGTGCCGGACTTGTTCGGGAAAAGTATCGGTTCTGGATCTTATTTCTTTTAGTTACTAAACCGTTACTGCGTAGGACGTCTTTACAAAAGCATCTGTTTATGACGTGAATTATTTCGTCCTTACACTTCAAAATAGAGGTATAGGTAACCTAACTTATTCCTTTAACTGCTCAAAGGCAGTACATTTGATTATCGGAAGCAAGAAATCAACATGGTGACTGCTTTAGTTCAACTAAGCTTTTTTAGAGTTGTCTTAGGGTGTGAGCAAGTTGGCTTGTCTTCACTTAGAGTTGCGCAGTACATTTGTTATGGCCAACGTCTTTTGAGAGTTTTCTACATTCATTGTGCTAGTAGCTCATAAGTTTTGTTGTATTTAGAACTAGTCCTAGATGGTCTAGATGGTTGGTAAGCAGTCTGAAACTCCTTTTGTTCTTTAAACGATCTCATTTCACAGGAAGGCGGTGCTGTTCTTCTTTGACGTCATCGGCTTTTGTTCGTTCGGTGGCTAGTGTATTGCCGAGTGTTTGAGTTGATGCTGTTGCTATTTATAGATCCGTTGGTGTAAAAATGTGCATTCTTGCCAGATTTCATAACTATTGACATTTTTTTCGGGAATCAGATGTTAATCGTTTTGTCGAATTCCGGTGTTGCTCCGTTATACTTTGAGTGGTGTCAAATGCAAATCGTCCTTTGTACAAACAATTTTCAGATGTTCGAACTAATCTTCATCGCTGTCTGTTTTATTATCCTCTCGTACCTCGTTTTTAAGGTGGCTATGAGTGGATTCTTTAGCACCATTCAGGTTTGGATTATAACAGATTTTTTTTGTATTTCTCTTCCTTGCGGACTCACACATGCAGCAGCGCAACTTTTTACCTGAGTTCGGATTGATAATCGATTTTGTACGCTTTATCGAAATTTTGTGTATACTCCTCTCAACGGTTTACCGCCTCATCGTGGCTGAGAGGTGTTCCTGTGTGTTGGGCTGCGATGTACAGCGGGGGTTTCATCTCCCCAGCATATTCTCCCAAGCTAAGAAGGAGTCCGGCGTTTCCATTAGCAAGCCCAGCTGAAAGTAAACCAATGCCAGGATTCACTACCGTCCTGGTATCAGACTATTCGCTTGGTTGAAAATCTTCCTCTGATCCACAACGCCGGCGACTGCCTGTGGTGGTGACGACCTTTGGTAGACTTTAACTAGGCTGACCTCGGGTTTCCGGGGAACCACAATGGCTAAGCCAGCAAAACTCCGAAGAAATGGGAATTATGCTGGAGTACGCACAACTAGCGAGGATGACCCATCGAAGTACCGAGGTCTGTGCATAGTTACAGGGTTTTCTAAACCTTTGAACTTAATGAGTTATCAAAGTTCGTAACTTTCATTCTGTGCTCTGCCGTCTCGCTAATAGAAAGAAATTTTGGAATGTCTTTGGACGCGACTTTCCAGCAACTTATTCCAGTATTTAGTTCTAAACGTCGCGTGCAGCCCAGTGGTCGGAGGTGCTCTGCAGTATACATGAGATCGATCCCCGCTCCCCAGGTACATCTTGCCTTCCATCCCTCCGGGATCGGAAAATTGGTACTAGACTAGGAGGATAGCAGCACTGGCTCGATCCATCGGTATGCCACCGCGAGTTATTGTAAAGGCCAGATACGAATTCATTCACCTTCGATGATGCTTAGTGAATTCGAATGCGTGCCGCATCCTTGAGGGTTTGATGAACACCGGGAACTTCATCCTTTTATTCTTTTATTCGGTTTTGCATCTATTCCATATTTCAGCCAACGGTCACGGAGACACCAAAGTATCTCGCAAAGTCACTAACTATTTATTACAAACATAATATTGGAGCGTACTCTGGAGTCGGGTCATTGTTTAATGAGGTATTTTCGTCTAATTTATTCGATCTTTTGTAGAGAAGGAAGGAGTAATTTTCTGCAAATTCTAATACAGATTGAAGGTGCGGAATCTTCTACCGACTGGAGCGACAACATTAGGCATTTATTACGACAATCCAAGAGTATGTTCAGAGTATTTTTTACATTTTAAATATTGTTTGAGCTGAACCTTGTGGAAGATAAGTTTTTATTTTGCACATTTTATTCAGTAAAACGTTATTTATAGGAGACGGTTTTGCCACCTTGCAAAATAAGGGAGGTGTTATAGCAAAGCTTTTTATTATCTGCTCTAACGGGGCGCGTGTAGCGCAGTGGTCTAGGGCGCCCTGCGATAGACTACGAGTCGATTCTCGCACTCCATGCTCACGAAACCCCTCGATCCCTGCGGGTTCGCCAAACTGGTACCAGACTTGTCTGGGAGGATAGGAGGACTGGCCCTATACGTTGCTGGACCACTGCGAGTTAATTGTAAAGGCAAGATATGCATTCAATCACCTCCAACGATGCTTGATGAAGTTAAATGTATGGGGCATCCGTCAGGAATTGATCAACACTGATGTCCTTTCACTTCAACCTAAGATTGTGGCATTGGTGAAATTCTTCTTTTTCACAGAATTTGTCACAAATGGCAAATTACTTGATATGGAATCCTCTGCGTGCAGTTAACTCGTCATAGCTCTTCCTAGTAAACTTTAGATGTCAGTAGATTTAAAGTACATGCATAGCTTTCGATTAATTAGGACTCTTCTGCAGCCTACCATTATGGCGTTATCTATTCCTCGAAGTTATTGGTTTTGGCTTACGTCTTTATAGGCGATTTCGTTAGGATAGGTTATAGTGTATCGTACACATAAAGTTTGTATCTGGTATTTTAGGAGAGAGATGAGCAATTACTTCAATCAGCCATAGGTGTTGTGTTTGCAGGTAATTTTTACGGGATTGTTTTTTACTGTAGGTAGTTTTCTTTTACAGTTTAAATATACTATATTCATAGAAAGTTGAGCAGTATTACGTCCCGCTAGTGATTCTCTTGGAAATTGCCTGAAATTTTCGGTAAATAGGTTTATTACAGTAGATGGTGAGGACCTGTACACGGATAATTATGCCCAACAACTTAATCGATGGGGTTACGAGAGGATGGTTTTACCTAAGGTGCTTTTTTTGCGACTCGACTTACTATTCACCGACAAATCAGGGTTTTTCACCTCTCAACCTCTTTCTTAAGGTCGATCGTGCTGTTGAAGTTACACAGCCATACAATGGCTCACTCTCTGTGTTCGCATTAATTTATCGTACTTATGGCATTGTTCGTCAGTTTATAGAGGTTTGCAGACACTTGATTCCAGCCATTGTTAAGTGCCATTTCTTACCGATACTGGGCCAACAGGGGGGCGTGCAGTGCAGCGGTGGGACGCACTCTGCAATACACATGGAATGGATCCCCGCACCCCAGGCCACTGAGCTTTCCATCTCTCCGGGTTCGGTAAATTAGTACCAGACTTGTCTGAGAGGATAGCAGCACTGGTTCAATACATCGGCAAGTCACCGTGAGTCATTGTAAAGGCCAGACACGCATTCAGTCATCTCCAACGATTCTTAATGAAGTCGAATACATGGCCCATCCCTCACAGATAGATCATCATCACGAGGTTTGTCTTCTTTTTTTACCAAGTCAGCTTACTCCGCCTTGCAGAACAACCGCTTGGAGACGTCGCTGGCTGTCGAATTTTATGATACGAACGAGATTTGCGTCACCTTCCCACTTGATCACGCAAAGGAGTTTATGATTCCAGAGGTGGCTTATTTTTTATTTTATATTCTACTTTGAAAACATGTGTTTTAACTACCAGTGATTTTCTTTTCATAGTTATATCATTAATAACATTTTACTAGTTTCCACTGCATTATTCCACTTTTCAGTATCTTCCGCTAGAGGTTTTGGAGTCTAAATTGAATAAAAAGAAGTTCGATTCTGATGAAGAATGTAGTGAAAGTGAAAGTGACCCACATTCGGAGCTAGAAGTTCCAGAAAGCGGCGAAATAGAAGTTGAAGCTGCCGGTATTGGAGACAAGAAAGCCGATTAAGCTTTATCAATACCTGATTGACCAGAACTCGATAACATATGTCCCTATTTTTAATATTAATAAGAGAACTGCATTCATCCCGGTTATTTATTTTGAGCTTCGTGCTTTTTTTGTTCGTTATTTTTTCCGCGCATATCCAAATTTTGTGGTCGTTACGGTTTTCAATGAAGCTTTCCTTTACAAATTTCGATGTTACTGTGAGACAATTAGACTGGACATCTTGATTATCCTTATATATTTGACGAGAAGTTAGACTGAATTTGTCAGGCTGAAACATTAACACATACAGAGACTACTGTGTAGACGTGAGTACTGCGTTGACTATAAATAGGGAAAGGACCTGGATAGAAGCCTTATTCATCCCAGTTCCGGTCATGGGATGGTATCAGTGGTAACATGTTATCAGGTTATGGAGTTTCATTTATTACAGTTGCATATAAAGAGTTAAAGAGTGAGGAAAACAGTAGTAGTAGTGATTGTACCATTTATTACAAATAAGAGGGAGAGGTTGGGTCTTCACTAGTTCATTAATTAAGCCTCCCATCTCTGTGGTGTGCTCAAGCTTATGCTAAGCTTATGTGCAAAGGGTCACGAACACATACAAAGTGACAGGTTCACGTGGTGACGATTTCGGAACGCGTTATCACGGCTATTTCAAGATTGCTGTCACAAGGGAACCGCCCAGAACAATAGCATTCATTAAAAGAGGGGAATTTTTAAACAGCCGCAGATCGAACACTCATGTTCTAAAACCGTTGTGGATGGCAAACGCAACAAAACGAATAGGGGGAAGGAAGTGCTGGCATCTGCAAAACGTGTGGTGTCGAGTCATGTGAAAGAAATAAAAAGTCACTGGAGTTGTACACATTAGTTACTTCCCCACACTTACATACTAGTTTTCTCTTTCTAAACGGTTACAGAGTGTGCGCGTGCAGCGCAGGCGCCCTGTAATACACGTGGGATCGATTCCCGCGCTCAGACTCACTGAGTCCTCCATCCCTTCGGGTGTCAACAAGCTCGTACCAGACTTGTCTGAGAGAATACCAGCACCGGCTCGATACATCGGCAAGCCACCGCGAGTCATTGTAAAGGCCAGGTATGCATTCAATCGCCTCTATCGATGCTTAGGGAAGTCGGATGTATGAGGCATCCCTTAGGGATTGATCAACGTCGATAACTTTATCCATTTTCTAGAAATGGTTATATCTTTTTTTGCTTTTAGTATGTTGATGCCATTCGTCATTTTCCCTATAAAGGCCTACCGAAACTGTAATGAAATTCGTTTGCCAGAGGTAGGCCATAATTTGCGGAAGTCAAAAGGCTATTTCTCTAACTGCATAGTCTGAAGCGATCATTCTCTTGCAACAAAGCTTAGCTTAAATTCGACACTTTCTCAAGAATTCGGCACTTTGCTTAGAGATCTTTCCATAGAATAGGATTTCTCTTCATTTTTAAAGCTAAGATTGAAAATTCGAAATTTGAGCTTAATACTACGGTATTCCATGTCTTTACCCTTAAATTGCCGCTTGATGAGGGCATAAAAGGTTCGGCGTTGATCAGTTCCCGAGGTGTCAATTAATTTTGGTGTTGAACAGTTGATCAATCAATGAAGTTTGCCGAGCATTAGACTCCAATTCAAGTGAGGATACTAACCTCGAGCGAAGCTGCACTCCAGAAGGTTCGATTCGATACGACCGCGGTTATCCAGCTCGTCAGGACAACAGGCTGTTAGTGAACCTGGGCCATGGTTGGCTCGAATCATCGTGGCTCTGAAGAAGGTAAAGGCACCGATTCGTCAGCCGAGTAAAGTTTTATAAGAATATCTCATGAAATCTTAAGAATTCAACAAGGTACTGACTATTTGCACCAAGGTTAAATCGGAACCGGATTTCTCTCTGGGACGAGAAAACGCTATCCAATTATGACACTGAAGACGAGCAGTTCCTCGGAACATGCGACAATAGAGGAGGCGTCGGCGTCCTCCTCAACATTTGTTTGGCCATGAACATAGAGTCTTTCGAGCAGCCAAAACCCGAATTGGACCTTTACGGTTGAAAATGTTTGGATAACTACTAACTTTGACAATTTTCATCGTTTGCATACTGAGATCAAAGACTGAGAAAGACTATGAGCCTCTAGGAGTTCTAAAGGGAAGACCATATGTTTTTTCGGTGGAAATTTCAAAACTAAGATTGGACCCTAAACAACATCTGAGGAACGGTACATTGGGACCCACGGCTTCAAAGGAGTGGGCAGAATGAGCGGCTGTCTGAGTTTATCATGACGACAAAGACTAAACATAGTAAGTCACAGTTTCAGATGTCCCACTCTCAACGCTCAACATGGGATTCTCCCAATGAGATTTACCATAATGAAGTAGACCACATCTTAGTACGTGGGAGGTTGAGCATAACGGATGTAGCTGTTGCGCCAAAATTTTGCACTGGAGCGTACCGTCGATCCGTCCAAATTCCATTTTTCATTGGAAAGAGGGAAGGAACACCAAGTTTGGGCGGAATGAGATCAGAACACTTGAGGAACCACGGCATGGGTCAGCCTGATGTGGCGCGTCCACTATTAGAACTGGACCTAAGTTCCTGTACATCTGAACCCATTTCTAAGCTATGCTTAGCGTCGCATGTAGTTTACATGAACTTCTGTATAGTTTTCGCAACAAAATAACAGATAAAGCGCTAAATAGGAGTGAGCAGCAGGAAGAAAGGTCATTTACCAGTACCGCCATTTTCTCAACCATTCTTTACACAACAAGAACCCAGTAATGAAGTTGACATTAAGTCTCGGACATTTGCAAATGAAACTTTCGAAGTCCTTCCTTAATCACTATAGCGCGAAGATATCGGCGGGAGGGACGAGGTTTGATAAGGTTGAAAAACATAGGACTATCTGTTAGTGATAAATGTGGAGAGTTCGTAGTAATTTCTTATCAGTTAGATGTTTAGATAACTAGAAATCATCTTTATCCTTCACTTTATCGTCAGTCATCCGAGAAGAAATCTGTCAGTACCGAAAATTAAACAGCGTATTGGCTAAAATGCCAAAAGCGGGTTGATTGAAACCATTAGCTATCTCTCAATTCAAAATTGGTTTACCAACATGTCTCATCTTATACGCACTTATCAAAGCTCATAAGTTAGTATCAACTAATGATCATGTGTCCAACGACCCATCATTGTTCAGGGTTGGACCTATCATTAGCTGTGTAGACAGACCAACGGATAGAGTAACGTGGTTTTAAACCCAAACACTTGCCCATTTGTTAAAACATAATCCAGCTCATCCCACCAATACCTAAATAAAGATATATATATATATAT